CCGCAGAGTTTGCCCCAGGGGCACAGCGGTTGGGGACAGACCATAGCAGCCAGATGGGGGCTGGAGCTGGGTGGCTGTGGCCAGATGGAGGCATCTGCCACCACTAGCCCCTCTCACCTTCCCAACTGGGAGCCCATGTGTCCCCTACAGTGCACCCTCAGCTAGTCCTTTAAATGAGCAGACTGCCCCAGCCCGCTCTTGCCACAGCACAGCCAGTTCTTACCCAGCCTTACTTTCACTCTGGTAAAAGGTGAAATAGACAAAAAAAGACCATCTTGACATGAGTAATTTCGCATTATTTAAATTTTGAATTAAATTTTCATTTTAATTTAAAAAGTTGCATGTATTTTGGGATATTTATCTAATAGTGTAGTCAATTAACCGATAAGCAAAAGCTTCTAGGTTAATGCTATAAACTACACCCATTTCCTTCCTCCCCTCTCCCCAGTAAATTTTTTAGCAGGCTGGCCAGTAGCCTGGTCTAGAACCTACCCCCACTGTGGCTCTGAATTTAAAGTGTATTAGGAGCCCAGCTCAGTTCCGGGAGCTCAGCCCTGCCCCTGGATAGGGGCTGCTGTCACCCTACGCTGCTGCCTCTGTATCAGAGGCAGCAGTGTGGGGCAACAGGCAGCTGGTCTGCAAAGGGAGCTAGTTTTTAAACTGACTCCCCTCACAGACCAGCTTCTGCCTGGCACCCTGCGTTGCTGCCTCTGATAAGAACATAAGAACGGCCAGAACAGAGAGCACTGGCTACCACCCCCACCCTCAGGGACTATAGAATAGTCACATCAGCACGGAGTGACAGGAGGCTCCTTGGGAGTGGGGACAGAGAGCACTGGCTACCACCCCCACCCTCAGGGACTATAGAATAGTCAAGTAACCGATAAGGATTCATGAGGTTAATCCACTATTCAATTAACCGATATTTAACATCTCTATTTTGGGAATATAACAAAAGAGCCATATTTGGTTCTGTATTGAGCCATATTTGACTTGAGAGCCATAGGTTGCTGACCCCTTACAGCAATGCCAATGTTTACTGCACTCTTGCATGGGCAGTAGGTGAAGGTAAGGCTGGTGGAGGTAAACCCCCAACCCTGCTACCAACCCTGCCCCTATCACACAGAGGTGGGGCAGCGTGTGGCCCCAGCCTCCTTGACTTGGAACACAGGAAAGGCAGCCGGTGTGGAGCCCTACCCTCTCCAGCCATGGAGCATAGGGAGGGCAGGTGGCATGCAGCTCCAGCCTCCCTGGCCCCAGAACACTGGGACTTTGTCTACACTGCAAGTTTTCGTGGCAGAAAATATGCCAATGAGGGACTCATTAGCATAAGTCACAGTATCATTAGCATATTTTCTGCCATTTCTTTTTGTGCAAGGGGTTTTTGTGCAAAAAGCAGTGTAGCTGCTTCCATTTTGCACAAAACCCCCATTTTGCACAAGATCATTATGCCTCTTTGGGAGTCCCTCATTAGCATATTTTGTGCCATAAAAACTTGCAGTGTGGACAGAGCCAGAGAGGGCAGGTTCTTGGGGGCAGCAACAGTCTGCCCCCAGTATACCTACATTGGGTCTTCCGGGGGTGGAGCCAGGCCGGTGATTTGAGAAGGCAATGCCTTCCCTCACCTGGCATACCTGCAGCCCTGCTCTCACCTGCATCAAAATGTCTTAAAACCATCCAATTGAGTGCCCAAATGGACAGGTTTCATACAGGGGGGCTGTGTCTAGACTGGCAAGTTTTTCCCGGAAAATCAGTCGCTTTTCCGGAAAATCTTGCCAGCTGTCTACACTGGCTGCTTGAATTTCCGGAAAAGCACTGACGATCTCATGTAAGACTGTCAGTGCTTTTCCGGAAATACTATGCTGCTCCCATTCCGGCAAAAGTCTTTTTCTGAAAGACTTTTGCGCAAAAGGGCCAGTGTAGACAGCACAGTACTGTTTTCCGCAAAAAAGCCCCGATCGCGAAAATGTCATTTTGTGGAAAACCACGTCTAGATTGGTCACGGACGCTTTTCCACAAAAAGTGCTTTTGCAGAAAAGCATCCTGCCAATCTAGACACGCTTTTCTGAAAATGCTTTTAACGGAAAACTTTTCCGTTGAAAGCATTTTCGGAAAATCATGCCATTGTAGACGTAGCCATAGTGAAGATGTGGCAAACCAGATAGATCTTTTGTCCCCACTACTTCCCTTGGAAGGCCATTCCAGAACCTCACTCCTCTAATGGTTAGAAACCTCTGCCGGAGAACAGAGCAGCAAGGTAAGGACAACCCGGCCCTGAAGTGCGGAGCGGCTCTTACCCAGGAGGGTTCCTAGGAAGTGAACACAGACCCTTTCGTCCTGGGCCAGCAGCTGGACGAGCGGCGCCGCACGCCAGGCCAGGCCATCGCGGAGGCCCGACAGCACGTGCTTCTTGCGCACCAGCTGCAGGTTGAAGGGGATGACACATGTCACCGGCCAGCTCCTCCTCCACGTGCAAAGCGGCTGAAGAGCCCAGGCCGGGGGAGAGCGGCCGGAGCGAGCCCAGGGGCGGGAGCCCAGCACAGCAGCAGCAGCAGCGCCCTCGCCACGTCCCCCACCAAAGACCCGGGCTCAAGTCACTGAGCCCTTTTCCCGCGGGCAGGGGGCCGCGTGGGGCTCCCTACCGAGGCGCCGCCGTCCCCCAGCGTCTCGCTGACGCAGGCCAGGCAGAGCGGCGGCGGCAGCAGCAGGAGCCAGCGCGGGTCGTGGGCCGCGTGGAGCCGCTCGCAGACCAGCAGCCCCGTGGCCGCTTCCATCGCGCGCCGACTGGCCCTCGCGTCACGTGGTGCGCGGGAAAGCACAATATTGGCGGGAAAACTCCTGCGCACGCGTCACTGGAGGGCGGGATCCTTGTTTGGCGCTTGGGAAGAAGCCCCGCGTGTTCCGAGCACGTGTCTCCGGGAGATCAGGGCGGAGCCCAGGGAAGCGAGGGAGTCACTTTCTCTCCGGCGCCCTCTACCCCTAAAGGGCCACACGCGCCACCCGCTGCATCTTCCTTCCCAGCTCAGGTCTGAGCCCGCTCGCTAAGGGAGCTCCCGCGGCAGGACTGTAGCACTGGAGGCAGGAAGACAGGAGCTGGGAGTCATGAGGGGCGGGGGGAAGAGAAGGAATCTGCTGGGGCATCTAGACAAGGATAAGGGAGAGTTCTTGGGGGGTGGGAGAAGGAAAGAGGTGGGGGAGTGAAAGCTGAATTGGATCCACCGAGTAACAAGTGGGAACCCAGGCACGGACAGTGAAAAGGGTGACAGTGACCAGAGACAGGGTGAAATTGGCGAGGAAGGGACAGAGAAGGTGAGAGAATAGGGAAAGGGGTGGGGAAGAGACACGGGGGATTCCAGATAATAAAAGGTGTGCAGAAGAGAGAGAAACCTGAGGAATGACAAAATAACCAAGGCAGAAGGAGAGATCCCAGAATCTTACATTCCCTTGACTGACTGACTTAAAAGCCAACCCAACCTTTTTTCTTCTTAGTCTTGGAATGGGGAGGAGTGATAAATCATTGACCTAGGACACCACTGCATTTAAATTATCAGTCACAATATTTCCAAATCTAGAAATTAGCATAATTTTGTAGCATTTGGAACTAGGAAGGTTTTTTAAAATGAGTTAAACATTTGCATCCCTTTCTGAATAGGAAAGCTGGAACAAAGTTTAAATAATGAAATATGGAAGAACAAAGGTGGAGTTACAGCAAAAGAGATATAATCGTATGCCCTTGAATATACTAAAAATTTTCCAGTAGAACTGTGAATTACCAGTGCTTCTGAAAAATAAAGTCTTTGGAGTCTAAAGCAACAGAAATTAAAATTATTACATGTACTATTAGTAACATCTTCTTCATTCTCCTACCCTGGCCAATAGGGAATTGTATCCTGCGCTATATTCTTCACTATTTGTGACCAAAAAATCGCACTTTCGGAAAAAAATGTGTTGATGCCCTGCTGAAGTCTCACTCTCTTAAGCCAAAAAACAACAAATGCTCTGGTAGCACTTTATAGACTAACAAAACATGTAGATGGTATCATGAGCTTTCGTGGGCAGAGCCCACTTCTTCAGATGACCAGCGTTTTGAGTTTAGGATGTGCAGACCCAAAATAAATAGGGGAGAAGGGAGGGGGGAGAATTATGTGAGTTTGCCTTTCTACTCAGGATACAATTTCAAACAGCATTCAGCTCCAGCATGACGATTTCCATATGTAATCCCCAGATTTAGGAGGCTATTGGAGAGATTGTTACCCTCCCAGTCCCCACTCCAAGTTGCTTTCCGTGGCAAGCAATTTTACCAAAGCTGCTTTAGTTCCTGAGCTGTTGCTTTTGCAATGAGACCCGATCACACGCAGGGGGCGCAATGCACAACATGTCCCCGCATTTCCCGGAGAGTAGAGCCGGCGAGCTTTTAAAAAGAGCAGCGCTGCCCCTTTAAGGTGAGAGTCCTCCCTCGCTCCCCACTCCGGACGGGCTCAGCTAAACCTCATTTCCGGGCGCGACGCACTTGGGAGCATTTTTGGTCTTTTTCCTCCGTGAAGCTTTCGGGCCGAGAGGATCGTCCCGCCCCGCTCCAGACAGGAAAGGGCTTGAATCAGCGCAGCCATGGTGAGTGGTGCCCAGGCAGGCTGAAGGCAGAGCACGTGGGGAAGGAACGTTGGGACACTCCGCGTTCCAGCCGGGCGTTCTGTCGGCAGCGTGCGCCCGCGGGTGGCTTTCAAGGAAGAGGTTCGCGTAGCGGGAGCCCTGCCCTAGGCCGGGCCACGTGGGAGGGGGGAGAAGCCGTGGGGCTCCCGCAGGTCCGGGGTCTCCCCTTCTGCCTCCGCGGGTTTTGCAGCCGCGCGCCAGTGTCGCTGGCCGGTTCGCAGCGACTGCGGGACAGTGTCTACGACCGTGGTCTTGAGAGCAGCTGTGCGCCCTCCAGCCTCTGGCGTGCGGAGCCCAGGTTGGAAGCACGTGGGCCACGTGGGAGGGGGGAGAAGCCGTGGGGCTCCCGCAGGTCCGGGGTCTCCCCTTCTGCCTCCGCGGGTTTTGCAGCCGCGCGCCAGTGTCGCTGGCCGGTTCGCAGCGACTGCGGGACAGTGTCTACGACCGTGGTCTTGAGAGCAGCTGTGCGCCCTCCAGCCTCTGGCGTGCGGAGCCCAGGTTGGAAGCACGTGGAAGTTAATGTTGTTTCTCCCCGCCCCCCGCTTTGTGCTGATAGGGTACGAGAACAAGTGCAAGGTGTTGCTGCTTATTTTACAGCATGATTTTTTTTCCATTGGATGTGACGTGATCATAACCCAAAGAGATTATTTAGGGTTAAAGTGCGGGAAAAGTTTTGTAGCCATAACAATATCTAGTTCTGTCGATTTCAAACCACGTTGCAGAAGGAAACTCAGGTATAGCTGATGACTTGACTTGCAAAAGGCCTCGAGGCCCAGTCTGTGTTCTGTCTACTAGATTAGTGGTTTATATTCCAATTAAGGATGTAAAAGTGTAACTGTCAAAATGGTTAATCAGAGTTCATGATTCTAAGGAATGGAAGAAGGAGAACAGCAAAATAGAGACAATGGATTTCAGGAGGGCAAATTTTAGTAAACTCAGGGTATATCTACACTGCAACACTATTTCAAAATGACTAGTGCTATTCTGAACTAACTTAGTCCGTATCTACACAGCAGGCAGTTATTTTGAAATAGCGTCAAAATACTGTCAAGCTGGAGGACTTCTTACTGACTCCTGTAACCCTCATTGTATGAGGAATAAGGGAAGTCGGAGAAAGAGTGCTCTATTTCAAAATAAGTGCTGTGTAGACGCTCCCTATTTCAAAATAAGATAGCTCAATTTACGTAGTTTATTTCGATTTAAGCCCTGCAGTGTAGATGCATCCCCAGAGAGCTGATCAGAAGGTCCTGTAGGAAGTAAGACTAAGAGAAAAAACAACTGAAGAGGGTTGGCAGTTTTTGAAAGGGACGTTATTAAGGGCCCCAAAAGCAAACTATTCCACTGTACAGGAAAAATAGGAAGTATGGCAAGAGACCACCATGGATCAACCAGGAGATATTATATGATCTAAAAATAAAAAAGTAGTCATTATAAAAAGTAGAAACTAGGTCAAATTACAAAGGATGAATATAAGCAAATGCACGTATGCAGGGGAAAGATTAGAAAGGCAAAGGCATAAAACAAGCTAAATCTAGCTAGAGACATAAAAGGTAAAAAGACTATGTTCTACTTGGCTACGTCTACACTACAGGCTTTTTGGTCAAGAACAGCTGTTCTTGTGCAAAAACTTGCGGCGCATCTACGCTGCACGCGTGTTCTTGCACAAGTAAATTTGCAGTAAAGCATCAGAAGAGAGGGCTTCTTGTGCAAGAGTTATTCCTCTCCCCATGGGGATTAAGCGCTCTTGCACAAGAAGGCAGTGTGGACGGGAACAGGGGTTTCTTGCGTAAGAAACCCCTATGGCTAAAATGGCCATCAGAGCTTTCTTGCGCAAGAGAGCGTCCACACTGCCATGGACGCTCTTGCGGAAAAGCACATGGCAGTGTGGATGCGCTCTTGCTCAAGAACTCTTGTGCAAAACAGTTCTTGCACAAGAACCCTGCAGTGTAGACGTAGCCCAGGTATATTAGAAGCAAGAGGAAGACCAAGGACAGGATAGACCCGTTTCTCAGTAAAGAGGGAGGAAACAATAACAGGAAACTTGGAAAAGGCAGACTTCTTTGGCTTAATGACTTCTTTGTTTCGGTTTTCATCAAGGAGATGAATGGTGACAGGATGCCTAACATAGTGAATGCTAGTAGAAATGGGATATGTTTAGAAGGTAAAATAAAAACAAGTTAAAAATTACTTAGAAAAGTTAGATGTCTTCAAGTCACCAGGTCCATCTGATTAAATGCATCCTAGAATACTCAAGCAGCTTATAGAGGAGGTATTTGAGTCTTTAGCTATAATTTGTGAAAAATCATGGAATCTTGGAGAGATTCCAGAAGACTGGAAAAGGGCAAATATAGTGCCCATCTATAAAAAAGGAAATTGGAACAAACCATGAAATTACAGACCAGTTTAACTTCTGTGCCAGGAAAGATAATGGAGCAAGTAATTAAGGAATTAATCTGAAAGATAATAAGGTAATAAGAGCCAGCATAGATTTGTAAGAAAAAACAAATGTCAAACCAATCTGATAGCTTTCTTTGATAGGCTATCAAACCTTGTGAACAAGGGAGAAGTGGTGGATGTGGTATACCTAGACTTTGATATGGTCTCGCATGACCTTAGCAATAAACTGGGCAAATACAATTTAGATGGGGCTATTATAAGGTGGGTGCATAACTGGCCGGATAACGATTCTTAGAGTAGTTATTAATGGTTCACAATCATGCTGGAAGGGCATAACAAGTGAGGTTCCGCAGGGGTGTATTTTGGGACCGATCCTGTTCAATATATCAACGATTTAGACGATGACAGAGAGAGTACGCTTATTAAGTTTGCAGATGATACCAAGGTGGGAGGGGTTGCAAGTGCTTTGGAGTATAGGGTCAAAATTGAAAATGATCTGGATAAACTAGAGAAATGGTCTGAGGTAAATAGGATGAAATTTAATAAGGAAAAATGCAAAGTGCTCCACTTAGGAAGGAACAGTTTCACACATACAGAATGGGAAGCAACTGTCTAGGAAGGAGTACTGCAGAAAGGGATCTAGGGGTCATAGTGGACCACAAGTTAAACATGAGTCAGTGTGACACTATTTATTTTTTTGTTGGTGGTGGTGGTGGTTTTTTTTGGGGGGGGCAATATTCTGGGATGCATTAACAGGAGTGTTGTGAGGAAGACACAAGAAGTCATTCTTCTGATCTATTCTTTGCTGGCTAGGCCCCAATTGGAGTATTGTTACAAGGAATTTACATTGGCCAAGTTATGTTGATCAGGTGTGTGGACAATCTACACCCCTGGGCACTGAGGTTATGTCAACCTAACCCCCAAGGGAGAGAACACTATGTTGATGGAAGACCTTCTCCAATCAACATAGCTCCCACCTCCCCCTGCATCAGTGGGAGAAGCTCTCTCGTTGACATGGGTCACATCTTCTCTAAGCACTACTGCAGCACAGATGCACTGAAGCAGCCCTAAGCATAGTCAAGCCTATGAAGAGTTTTCATTGATGGCTTGTCTGCACATCAAATGCCACAGCAATGCAGCTACAGTGTCAATGCTATGGAGCTGCCGACAGAATTGCTGGACCAACGGGTAATGAGGGTGAAAAATTGTTCTTTGGCCTCTGACGATGGGACAAGCAGCAATGAGCTTACGTTGCAGTGAGAGAGGTTTAGGTTGGATATTAGGGGGAAAAGTCCTAACTGTCAGGGTGGTTAAACACTGGAATCAATTGCCTAGGGAGGTTGTGGAATCTCCATCACTGGAGATATTTAAGAGCAGGTTGTAAAGACATCCATCAGGGATGATCTAGTACAGAGCTACTCAACTTTGGAAGCCCCAGGGGCCACAATGATACAGCAAACGCCAAGGGTGCAACTTAAGTGTGGTTGAATATATATGCAAATAGCTTAATTCACACCGACTGGGATGAATACAAAGCACTTCCCCACAATGCTCTGGTGCTCCCGGCACCTCCTCCCTCAGGGCTGGGAATGCCAACACCCTGTACCCATCTGTTCCAGCCATCCTGTATGCTTGCATCTTTCAGTGCTCACCTTGCCTGGGAGATGTCTTGCCATTGTTCCCAGTGGAGGCCATTTTCACAGGATCCCACCCATGGGCCACGTGTTGAGCCCCGCATAAACCCAAACCACACTGTGGGCCACATGTTGAGTAGCCCTGCATTAGCGGGTAAGTTTAAGGAAGGCGTAGGTGCTTTGTCCTGCCATGAGGGCAGGGGACTGGACTCGATGACCTCTTGAGGTCCCTTCCGGTTCTAGGATTGTATGTGAAATTAGGGGTTCAGTGTGCGGGACAGGACTGCCAGCAAGAGGGATTGGGGTGTAGGAGGGTGTGAGGTTTGGATGGGAAGTAGGGTGCAGGAGCAGGCTGGAGGTAGGGTATCTGGCCCGGGGGGGGGGGAAGGGGGAGAGTGCAGGAGCAAGCTAAGTGTGCAGGGTTTCAGTGGGGGGTGTATGAGGAGGCTGGAGGTGCGATGGTATGAGCATGGGGTAGCACTTACTTGCCTTTGTGTGCCAGTCCCAGGCACCGCTTCCCACTGCTTCCAGTTGTCAGATTCTGGCTTATGGGAGTAGCTGGGATAGTCTCTGAGCAGTGCACCAGCGTGTTGCTGTTCCCTCAGCCTGGGAGGGGAAAGGGTGTGCTTCTTCCTTGCAAGTCAGATTGTGAGCAAGACTCCGGGCTCCCTCCCTCCGGGAAGCCAGCACTGGTGGGCCAACTTCACAGGGGAGGAAGGGCAAGGCTGGAGCGCCAGCATGGGCTCCCTGCTGCAGAAGGATGTGGGGGGCTGAGCTCGAGCCTTGGAGCACCTGAAAGGCGGTGATCCACAGACTACAGTTTGAGAACCACTGCACTAGCACAAAATTGCCCCAACACTTTTGGGGGAAGAAGAGAAGAAATTCCTTTTGAATTGTTCTCAGAACATTCCCTTCTTAAAGAACGTGTCTTTGGAAAAACTAACCTGCTGCTCAACGTTCTTGCCAGGATTATTCTTTTAAGTTCAGACCCCCAAAAATGTGCATTTGTCACTGACTGCAGCTTGCTGCTCTTATGTTGGTAGATAAAGATTTTTATATTAACACTAGATTTCCCTGGTGTTGCCCATTTCCTTTAGGGCAGGTGGCTGGCAGTGTGTTGGGATGCAGAAGTCAGGGCAGGGACTTGGGGATGTGGGAGAGGCCCACAGCAGGAGGCTGGGAATGTGGGGGAGGGACAGGGTTAAGAATCAGGGATGAGGAGGGGCTCGGCAGGAGATGCAGGGTGCAGTACCAGGCCAAGGGATTGGGAGGTGTCATGGAGGCTCAGGGGAAAGGGTAATTGCCAGTTTCTCCCTGAGAGTGATTGGGGGGAGAGGGAAACCACACACTCCAGCTTCTGGCTTCTTCCCAGGGCTGGTCTCGGGGGCAGGTGAATGCCTCCCGCCACCAGTCCCAGGGAAGGCCAGTAGTTGCTCCCCAGGTCAGACAGGGGTGGCAGGTGCTGCCAGCCAGTGGCTGGTTGCTGGGGCACTTGCTGCTCCCTCTGGTCATGCATGAGGATAACCAGGGCTCGACAATTAAGGCAATCTACTCGCCTGGGGAGAGTATATTTTAGCCTGGCGCGGCCACGCAGCGCAGTCAGCATATGTGCAGAGCGCGGTTCCGCACAGCTGGCGAGCCCTGAGGATAACTGCCCTTCCATCACATCCCTCACTTTCTGTTTGAAATGAAACGGTCACATTCCAGGCACATCCCGTTATCCTGGCACAACCAATCCCTGACCTTGCTTTGTTATAAGAGGAAGCTGCACACCAAATTTGGTAGTCCTACCTCTTACCATTTAGGAGTTATTGATCAAATAGCTTCATGCACATTTCTAAATATTTAGTAAGACAGCATCTGAAATTGCAAAAGGCTCCCAATTGAGCTATATCTGGGCTGGAATTGGCATATTACATGTGAAACAACAGCATGTGGAGGGGAACTTTGATTTAGAAACAAACCTGTGTGTCCATAATGTTGAGATGCCCTGCAATCTTTAGTGTCCATTCAGAGCAGACAGGACTTCAGTGTTTTGCCTTCTCTGAAAAATACGCAGAATCTATCCTCAGTCAAGGACTAAGTTGATCATGGCAGGATATGAACCTGTAGCTTTAAGGAGCTTGGATGTGTTTAGACTATGAATGTGCCAAGTGAAGTTTTCCTCTGCTTTGTTGTAACTGGTTCCCTCTTTCTAGACTGAGGCAGAAGTGAACCCCAAAGCTTACCCACTGGCTGATGCACAACTCACCAAAACCCTGCTGGACCTTGTACAGCAATCCTGCAACTACAAGCAGCTACGCAAGGGAGCCAATGAAGGTGAGGTCTGTTTGTTATAGAACATGCTGTTTGCTGAAAGTAAAGAAAGGGTTTCATAGATTGTGGCTCCAGAAAGAGTCACACTGATGAACCAAATCTGACCTTCTGCATAAGCTAGGCAAGAGAACCTCCCCCAGATAATTCCTGTTTTACCACACTAGGGCTGTGTCTACACTGGGCCACTTATTCCGGAAAATCAGCCGCTTTTTCGGAATAAGCTGCGAGCTGTCTACACTGGCCCTTGAATTTCCGGAAAAGCAACAATGCTCTACTGTACAAAATCAGCCGCTATTCCGGAAAAACTATTCTGCTCCCGCTCGGGCATTAGTCCTTATTCCGGAACACTGTTCCGGAAAAGGGCCAGTGTAGACAGCCCAGTAGTCTTTTCCGGAAAAATGCGTCTACATTGGCCACAGACGCTTTTCCGGAAAAAGGGCTTTTCCGGAAAAGCAGCCTGCCAATGTAGACGCTCCTTTTCTGGAAAAACTGAAAACGGAATAGTATTCCGTTTTAAGCATTTCCGGAAATTCATGCCAGTGTAGACACAGCCTAGGAGTTAAAGAGGATGTTTGACTTTCCTGTCTCCATCTGTGAGATTAGGATGTTTGGTAACTCATCTTTCCAAATCCATATTGTTTGTTTTTTTTATACAATTTTTTGGCTTGTGCAAATGTATTCCCACCTTCCCCCACCCATAGAATATTCTAGCAAGAACAAACTAGCCTCTTCAGCAAATTTGTGTGCCGCTTTCACCTGCCTCTGTTAACAGCACAAAATAGGGTTCTTGCTAGAACAGTTCTTGTGTGGCATTGTGCGTGTTTGGAGAGGAGTGGCAGGAGAGAGTGAGGGAAGATGGCTAGCTGGTGGTGAGACTAATTTGTCCTTAGTGCCCATTGCTGTACTGCATAAGAATTGTTAATGCTTAGGGCAGTATCCCCAAGGGGTGGTAGAAGAATGTCCAGGGGTGCAGTGGGGCCCAGGGCAGCCCCCATGGGTGGGGAGGGACTGCCATCCAGCCTTGGCTCCACTCCAGGACCCTAGCCACAGCTCTGATTCTTGCCACTGCTTGGCCTCTGTGCCTCACCCCCTGGTCCCTGCCCTGTCTATGGGCCTATGGCTCCACTCCTGGCCCCAGGGTGGGAGTGGGAATGGAAATATTCAGTTATTGTGAGGGCACAAGAAAGTTTGGGTACAACTTGCTTAAGGGAAGGATCACGTTGGATTATATATCCTAATTGTGTTTTAAAAAAACTGAAACCATTTGTTGGATCAGTCTTATCTATACAATCACACAGCATCTTCCTTTGCTCCCTCTCCATCAAACACTACAGGTTTGAGTCCTAGAATATGTTCCCTGCAGCCTTGTCCCAGTATGTGTGTTTTTTATGACACCAAAGCTACCACTTTCCTCAGATTTTCGCAGGATCTATGAGGTGGGGACTGTTTCTGTTCTGGTTGTAGAATACCCAATTCAGTGGGGGTCCTTATCCTTGACTAAGGCTCCTATAGCATTACTATAGCACCTAACAATAGATTTGTGTTTCCTAACTTTCCGTTGTGTTAATATGCTCCACAGTACAACCTCCACCTAATCCTTTCTTCCCTCTTTATACAGCCACTAAAACACTGAACCGAGGAATAGCAGAATTCATTGTGATGGCTGCAGATGCTGAGCCTCTGGAGATCATCCTGCACCTCCCTCTCTTGTGTGAGGACAAGAATGTGCCCTATGTCTTTGTGCGCTCCAAGCAGGCCCTGGGTCGGGCATGTGGTGTCTCCCGGCCTGTCATTGCCTGTTCAATTACCATCAAAGAAGGATCACAACTGAAACCACAGATTCAGTCGGTCCAGCAAGCCATAGAGAGACTGTTGGTCTAAATTTACCAAAAACCTAGTAGCTGAAGTCCATAATTAAAAAAAATAAATAAAAAATCAGCATTGGGGAGGGAAAGTAATATTAGCCAATGCAATCGTTTGATACCAAGCCCTTGTTTCAAAATGCCAGCTGTTTGTTTTTACAGTGGCTTGCTCCTATTTGATGTTTCAACTCCTCCACTGCGGGTCAGTCTAGATTTATACCCAGCCACCTCTCTCCTCTTGCCAGTTTTTGAAAAGGACTTGCTTGCTGTACCAGTTATCAAAACCTCCTGATTTGGTAGACAACCACCCCACTTGAGCATGGTTAACCTGCACTCTTTTTCTCCCCCAGTAATGGATTAGCTTCTTTCATTTTGCAGCAAATTCTTCTGTGATAAGTTAGACCTGTAGCACCTGTGAATCATTTGTGATCATAGATGGTTTGATCCAATGAGGAATATTAAGATGGATCTGCAGTATAATGGTGGTCAGCAATTGCTGCATTAAGGCAGAGGCAAATAATGGGGGAGAGGTGGTAAATTAGACAGCAGCAGCTAGGAATTGTAGAAGACGGGTCAAGACCAAGTCAGCAGACATGTTGAAGTTGGACAAGAGGCCACTGTATGAGAGGTGTAGAGGAAGGAGAAATGTACTATAATGCTGGGATGACAGCTCTAACCTTGTTTTTTTTTTTAAACTGTTGGTTTTTTTAAATAAATCCATATATTCCCTGGTTTGTCAACTCATGCACATGACTCTGTTCAACCTATCTTGGCTAGGAAAGTAAGGTGCTGCTACCTGCCGTTCACTAGTTTAAAATGAATGAGACCACTCCAGAGCATTATAATGCTCTGATTAGTGGTGTCCTCTTATTTTATTTGTAATAATGTGTCTGCCTGAAGCTTTGCTGTAATCTACAAGTTGGTTCTCAGGTGGGAAGGGAGGGGAGGTTTAAAACTGTCACCCAGCCCTCCCAAAAAAACCCACACACATGAAAACAAGAAAATAAGCTTGCTACTTTTAGAAATTATCTTAAGGCCCACATGTGGTGAAGAAGAAATACTTATAGCAAGGAACAGTGTAAGTATTCAGGTACTCTTCACACAGATGTATTGTTACAGTGAGTAATGGCCTAATTTTAGACCCTAACATGAAAATGTCTCTTTTCACTTTAAAGATGATGCTTATGTAATAGACATCCTTGAACTTCTCAATGGATTGCTGTTTCTTGGGTCCAAGAGCTAGCATGGCCAATTTGCCTACTGTCCCCACTAGCATGCTAATTGTTAATCTTGTTCTGTTTACCAATTAAAGCCACTTTGTGCTAGTGTTAAGATAGGTGACATCCCTGCAAGACAGTACTAACTGCAATCCTGGTGTTAGCATTACTAGTGGTAGGGGATGGTGCTGTAATAAATGGACATGAACAAATATGCCATGGACTTGGCTGGGTTCTGCAAACTTTAATTCTAATCTAGATGTTCTGGTCTGTTAGGTGCAGCTTCTATTTAATTAGTTAACTGGTTAAACTTTGTGGGACCAGTTAACCATTTAACTGGGGATGGGGGCTGCTCCAGCTTGGCTAGACTGCCCCCCTTCTCACAGCAGGCCCCTCAGTGGCCCCTTGCCTGCAGCAGGGGTGGGGCTTACTGATTAATGTTTCACGTCCCTAATTTACTATGACACAAATGCATATGGATGTTGAGGGGACATATGGCTTGTTCCAGCATTGAGTTCTTGGAGCTACATCAGGTACGCTATGTTGTTTTTTAGTCTATAGGTTTCTATACCACAGTTGTCATTCATTAGTATCTTCTAGTAGTGTATTTAATAATAACTCATGTTTTTCCCATCCTCTTCCCAAGGGGAAGCATAGGTGGGGGGAGTATCTTTGGTAAGGGGTTCTTGGTGCTTAAACATACTCTTTGCATTGTTTATAGTGGAGGAAGTAAGGTCAAATGAACACCTTACACTTGGAACAGAAAGTGGTGGTTTGTGATTGTCCTTGGTCCTAGAGGTGTCTGGAGCAAGTTGCCTACCTCACACATTAGCTTTACTCTTGCTGTTGAAAATGCCATTGTCAGGGGAGCAAAACTGACGATCACCTTTTATCCTGGAATTTCAGATGGTCTCCTAGGTCTGGGCACTTGAGTGCTTTGAAGATAAAACTTAGGCCTTGATTTAGTATTCCATGGGAAGCTAGCCCATACCAGAGGACAGGTTTGGGGTGCTTACAGTTGCTGAGAGGTGCTGCAGTGTTTTGTGCTAGTTAGTTTCCCAAGTCCTGTAGGTATCATGGGCAGGTATATCTCATTGCTGTAGTCTGAGGTGTGACAGGCATGAATACCCAAGTCCAGGTCTGTGGTTATAAAGTATTAGGACAATTATGATGGGAGAGCTAGTGTCAGAAGGAATCCAGATGTAGTCCTATAGAGCAGTGTTTCTCAACCAATGGTACAAGTACCCCTCAGGGGTACACAAGAAGTCTGGGGAGGGGTGGATGTCAGCAACTGAAGTTTGGAGAAAACTGAATGTCAAGTTTTACAGCACTTTATTATTTTTGTACTTTACACCCAAAATGTCATTGCCCATCCAGCTACGATTAAGTTGTTTAAACAAATGTGTTGCAATGGTAGAAAAAAAATTGTCTGAAAACTGTAGGTACTGGAGTACTTTTTTTAAAAAGGGTTACTTTATTTAAAAAAAGTTGAGAAACACTGTTTGAGTACACTATGATGTTTGACAGTGTGAGAATGCTACTTCCTCCAAGTAGGAATGTGAAAGGTTAACTGGTAAAATTTGCCTTTTAATGAGTGATGCTTACTGCTTCCAGTTAACCAGCAGGGCTAAAGCAGTCCCCAGCCACAAGAGGGTAGCAGGCAGGTGCTGCTCCAGCCCAACCTGGAATAGGCTCCTGCTCTCCTCCCCCACGGCCCCTCCCCCAAATCAGTTAACTTGTTTTTACCCCCCACCCCAACACTGTTTGCATATTTTTTGCAAAGAGGGGCAGTGCAGACCTGGGCTCTGTGTTTGTGAGAACAGAAGACAGTGTGAGTAACAGATTTGCATTCTGTGTGGAGATGGGGTATGCCTCCCCCCACTTCTGTACACTGACATCAGCACCCCCATATCTCCCCCAATGTTGCACAGAGAGCAGGAACAGCATGACAGCAGGTGGAGGGGGCAACTGAAGTGCTGTGCTTGATAGCTTCCTAGCCAAACCAGTCAGGATCATCTGTCAGACTCAAAGATCTACTGGTAGATCCTGAACTACTGGTTGGTGACCACTGGTCTATACTGTAGATGTGTGATTTAAAGGACTGTAGATAAACACTTAATTCAGTTCTTCAAACTGGATTTTCAGAAAGAGGGTTTGAATGATTCCTTACACAAAGGGTAAGAGTACTACCACAACAGCTTGAAGGGACAATCCTTCCACAGCTCCAGTGGTATACAAACTTGTTAGCAGTTGGGGGTGGGAAGGGAGACCATGACACTGAACTGGAAGCCCAGGCAAGAGTGTGCTTTTACAGTTATAATACATTGGTGTTCATGTTCCCTCTTAGACTAAGTACTGTCACAAGAACCAGCATTGAAGTAAAATGGGAAGCTGCATGTGGATTTAATGGCACTTTAAGATCTATCAGATATTTGGGTAATTTTGCCCAGAGTCCAAAGAGCCAGAATCCAGGCATGTAAGAACATGCACAACATCCCTCTGAAAACTGCTAGCAGTAGTACTCAAATTTACATTAAAAGGTGGTTAGTCACTAACCACAGCATGACACCTTGAGGCATGCCTGCCTTGTGACTTAACACAGCCCTACTCTTGCTGTAGGCACATCTCATTTGCTTTGGTTCAAGCTAATGATGGCAGGGGACTGTGGGCCCTATGGGAGGTGGCCAGCTTTGAGGGTACTCCTGGAGGAGAGGGGTACCACACTGGTGGGGCAGTAGATGAGGGAGAGAAGTTTTAGCCAGACAGGCCCCTTATCAAAGACAGGCAAAAAGGTGGAGCCCTATCCCCAGCTGGCCACTGTCTTGGTATTCTCTCCCCCCTGTGCTCACTGCCCCCAGTGGTGAGTACAAAGCTTTCATCCCTCTTCTCTCTCCCTTTCCATGTTACATAAAAATGAACTCTCCTGGCACAACCAAACCCTAGCTTCAATTTTAAGTTAGGATATAAAGAAGCTGTATACCAAATCTGGTGGTCCTAGCTCTTAGTGTTTAGAAGTTCTTGAACAAAGATCTACACACACAAACAAATCTCTAAAATTGTATGAGAAGTACACACACTTAAGAGGTAAGCCTGATACAAATATAGCATTTTCATCCATTACCCTAGATTATTCCACTTATTTAAAACAAATCTTTGTGTTGAACATGGCAACTTTATGCCATTCTGCTATTCCAAAGTAGTAAGGATACAAAACAAATTTGCATTTATTCAGACATTAAGGCACAACAGTGTTCATTTTAACTGTAGAACCAGAGTTGGGATGGGGTTTATTTTGCCTGCAGCTATTATGTGCATAAGACACACTTAAGAGAATCCACCGTCACAAAAAGGAAGAAATAAGTTTCCTCTGACTGGAGTCTGCAGTGTTGGATGTAGAAAAGGGATCCTTTCCTCACTCTAATTTTCACCAGCATCAAAAATAAACTCAGACCCAACACCCAGATGAGTATACCGACTGAAGCTTTAAGCAGAAGAGTCACCTGTCAGAGGCCTCAGTTCCTGGTTAGAATTTGCTGAAATACTCAGTGAGTGCATCTAGAAGTTCTTGCTTCTTCCCACCACCTTTCAGTCCATAAACCCTGCATGCTTCCTTCAGAACAGGCACAGTGAATTTACCCAAAGTGCCTTTCTTTATGTGGCTCCTAAGCTCATCCTCTGATATTTCCATCTTGGCCTTCTTCTCTGTTTGGCCAGCACTTTCTCCTATTTGAAAACAATTTGGAGCACAAAATTAAAACTGTAAGTATAGGGAAAACACAGCAATACTTCATATGCCAGTCTAGTAACCAGTAAGTAAGAAGTGGCTTAATGGCTATGTATAGATGTGGTAAATTTCTAGATTCTTCATTTTACATTAGCAGGTCAGGTTAATACAGTACAGGAAAAAGGTTCTGTATAATGCCAGTCTCTGAAGATCACCCCCATGCAGCAATACAATATTCACCTTATGCAGAAAGTGTGCTTCTCAAAGTTACAGCTGGTATTTGTTTGATTTTAAAAGTTACGACATTTCCTTACATATCACTAAAAATCCAACCCATCAGTTGATTTCAGTTCCCTAGCTTATTTTCAGTTCTTCCCTTGGTTTTGGATACTAGCATTCCAGGTACTGATCTGTGCAGGTATTTTCCTAGTTTTGACCTTTAGAATCAGAGAATACTAGAACTGGAAGGGACCTCAAGAGGTCATTAAGTCCAGTCCCTTGCCTTCACAGCAGGACCAAGCACTATCTAGATATTTATCTAACCTGCACTTAAATATCTCCAATGATGAAGATTCCAAAACTTCCCTAGGCAATTTATTTCAATGCTTAACCGCCCTAACAGAAGTTTTACCTAATGTCCAACTTAAACCTCCCTTACTGTAACTTATACCTATTGCTTCTTCTCCCCACTGTGACTTCTATCATCAAGGTCAAGGAGAATAATTTTTCTCCCTCCTCCTTGAACACCCTTTTAAATACTTGAAAGCTATTACCATGTCCCCTCTTCCAAATTAAACTAATTTATTTCAGTCTTCCCTCATAGGTCATATTTTCTAGACCTTTAATCATTTTTGCTGCTCTTTTCTGGACCTACTCCAATTTCTCCATCTTTTCTGAAATTTAGTGCTTAGAATTGGATGCAGTATTCCAGCTGAGGCCCTTCAGTGCATAGTAGAGCAGAAGATTTACTTCTTGTGTCTATTTAGCTTGTGGTCCACTATAATCCCTAAATCTTTCTGCATTACGCCTTCCTAGACAGTCACTTCCCATTTTGTATGTGTGAAACTGATTGTTCCTTCTTAAGTGGAGTACTTCCCGTTTGTCCTTATTGAACTTCATCCTATTTACCTCCAGACCGTTTCTCCAGTTTGTCCCAATAATGTTAAATTATCACCCTGTCTTCCAAAGTACTTGCAACCCCTCCCAGCTCGGTATCAGCTGCAAACTTTATAAGTATATTCTATGCCATCATCTAAATCGTTGAAGCTGAAATTTTCAACAGTTACCCAATTACCTGCTTATTAACATCCCTAATATGGACAGACTGCTGTATGTCACAACACTGCAGGCTCCTCACTGCCACTCACCTTGTTTCCGCTTCACAGTCTTCCCCTCGGGATTGTAGTCAGGAGGATAAACCAGCTGCTTAAACTGCTCCACCAGATCACCCAGTCTGTGGTTCATCGCCTCAACTTTAGGCACTGGCAAAAGAGAAATTCACACTTACAGAAACATATCCAAACACAGGGAGATCTGTATGACAGAAAATGTCAGCACCATATGTCGGTGTATAGCAAGAGATGACTGTCCTCAATAACTATCATTCCACAAGAAATTGCAATCAAATTAAATGCAAAAAAGTATGTTAATGCAATGGTAGCTAAAGTACTTGATTATACTATTTACATTGCATATGTGTAATTAATTATATTTTTATGTATACCTAAATAGGAAGAATAGATATGCTTATACACAGTCCAAACAGAAGAAAAAAATATAACTGCATGCTAGAGAAATAAGTATGGTGCAGCTTTTAATTCATCTCACTTATGTTGATGCTATCCCTATCTGTTTTTTATATTAGCTCATCTATTAGACTGTAAGCTTAGGCACAAATAATTTTTGCCATGTGTGTATCCATTGTCTAACACAATGAGGCCTTGCCTACTGAATGAAATCCTTAGGCACTACTACAATATAGATCATTTTAATACTTTTCCAGACATGCAGAGAAACATTGAAAAAAAAAAAAGTTACAGCTTTCCCTAGGAAAAGCTTTCATCTATACTCTTACAGGCCAGAAGATGGCATCATTCCACCACAACAAATCCACCAGGCAAGTCATTCATTCCATTAATTTATCAGAATTAAATGCTCAACTGACCTTTAAAAAGAGTTTCAAGGCAAACAGTTTCCCAGTACGGAAAGCTGTTTAATCTTAGTTTCAAAAAATTAAGTTATTCAGATTTTTTTTTAAACTTTCATTGTTCATGACTAAGACCTAATGACAGATTGTTGGAGAAGAGGGAAGGCTGAGTGCAGTTGTTCTTGACATCTAGCTACCTAGATTCAAAATTTAAGTTAAGAGCCCATTTCTGCTTTCAGTAAATACAACTACCATTGACTTAAATGAGAACTGCTGGTCTATTCAAGAGCAGTATTTAGCTCATAAGACACAACTGACATGAATTTGGTCTTAATTTACCCCCAAGAAGGGATGTAAAATCCTGTTTAATCAGTTAAGCAGGATCCCAATGGACAGATCTGCTGAGCTGGAAAGGTCCCCACCTACAAGCAAGAGTGGAAGCTGCTGGCCCTGCAGGGCTGTGCTTACTGTCCAGTTACTTGTTCACATCCTTAGTCACAAGTGAACATTTGTATGCCGCACAAAACTGAAAGGAACATTTTATCAAGTACTTATGGGGTGGGGTGGAAATAAAGATGATAATCAGAATTACAAAATTAGAGACTGAAGTGTGTCACTACCACCACACACACACACAAAATTTAATTAAGTCCTGGCACTGAACAATGCTAATTGGTTTAAAAACACAAGAATCCCATTTGTGTTTTTTAGAAACACACCCACTACTTAATGAAAAATGAGGTGGCTTTTATTCCCACCCTCTTTACATTCACTTATCACTCACATGTCAGATCCTCAGCTTGTTCAGGCTCTAACAAGTCCAGTGCCAAAGCCTCCAAGTTTCTAAAATGTTGCTGCAGAACTGGATTCTCAAAGCTGTCATTCCTGCCAACAAAACCCAGAAACATTAAACACACATGCAAGCAGTAAACTGAAGCCATAAATAGAACCCCTCAGTTGATAAGCCAATTCCCCATCCTCCCCTGCACAGTTACGTGTCTCCAACAATGGTTCTTCACTGCAGATTGGTTTTCTCTCAGGCTTACTACCTACAGAAGCAATGACCATGTCACTAGCCCCCAGCTTGTTGATAATTACAATATGAAAGAAATAAGGATGGCAGCAGCTCACACTTTGAAACCAGTTTTGCCTCTTTCCATGCAGCCAATATCTGAATTCACATCTCCTTTGATGTGCCCACTATGAAGCTGATTCTAAAGACAGATGCATAATTCCCTCTACCAGTTATTGTGTGTACTTATTTAAACATCCTAAAATGCTTCATGAAGAGCGCCTTATATTGTTTGTCCTTGTAACAGCTTAAACTAGTTCAGGTACAGGCAGTCCCCAAGTTACGCGGATCCGACTTATGTCGGATCCGCAGTTATGAACGGGGCCCGTCTCCCTGGTCTCCAGCAGACCAGGGAGAGGAAGCAAAGCGGCGGAGCACGCGGGCAGCGGACAGCCCAGACGCGTCTGGGCTGTCCGTTGCCCGTGTGCTCCTTGGCTTTGCTCTGCTTTGCTCCCCGTCTCCCTGGGAGCAAAGCGGGAGCAAAGCGGCTGTCCGCTGCCCACGTGTTCCACCACTTTGCTCCCCGTCCCCCTGGTCTGCAGACCAGGGAGACAGGGAGCAAAGCAGAGCAAAGCCGTGGAGCCCGCGGGCAGCAGGACAGCCACGGCCTGTCTGGGCTGGCCCGCTGCCCCCGTGCCCCGCGGCTT